CACACACACACACACACACACACACACACACACACACACACACACACACACACACACACTCAAGTAATTAGAATGTTTGCAAAAAAGAACTAGAAAAAACAGCTTTTAAAAAAACCTGTAGCCAAACTGAAATGGTCAAAATGTTGAACGTTGGTAAAAGAATGCCTTTTTCACAAAGCATGTTAAACAAACTCAGACCCAAATTCTCAAAACTAAATAGAAAACTAAGGCTGAAAACTCTGAGTAATTTCAGTTGGAATCGAGCACGTGTGTGACTACTGTGGAAACCCATTATCTATGGAGCCCCGATTCGATCAGTCATTGTGACAACATGCAAGAGGAACTGCCTATTTCACAAGACTGAAACTCAGGATTGTAATGCAGAATAAAACATATTGGATAATGTGTTTGAAAGACAGGGCAACAGTAATACAGCTATATGCAATTTATAGATCAGTAAAACATGATTATTCCTGATCAAAATGACATTCCACATTTATCTGAGTTAGCTATTGATTGGGTAAGCTGTTTTGTGGAACAGGTTGAGACTAGATTTGCATCGGTCAGTAATCAGCAGTGTTTTGAAATTGGGTGATTTTCACATGATCGACCACGACTGGTTGGTGCCATTGAAGCTGCTTCAGCTACATCTAACTACTTGGTATCCTCCAGCAGTAAGGACCATTTGGTTTACACTCTAAATAGCTGGATTTACCTCCATCGTTCCAAGCTGAATTCGATACACAAATCACTGTATACCTTGAAGATCTGCTCTATATTTTAAGATATGCAAACCTTATAAGGTCAGGCCCTAAATGTAGAAAGAGCGCTAGAAATAACCCAATACAAAAGGATCACCTACAGCCAGTATGTCCCAAGTAGATCCTCGAGGCCTGCTGTGCTACAGGTTTTCAATGTTTCTCAGCATCAGCAAAGCCTTTTTATCAGCTATCAATGGAAATCAGCTGTGCTGAAGAAGGGAAACCTCTAAAGCCTGTAGGACGGTGCCCCTCGAGGACCACCTTTGGGCATACCTGCCTTATAATAAACAAGTTAAAAACAGCTAACAATAGGTAATCATAGGAAAATAAACCAAAGAAAGCACAAAATAAACAGCAAATTAATTGTCAAAACACGCACACAAAAGAAAAAAAAAACACTTCTAGATTTGTACAACCAAACTAACATTTAAGTATGTTTTTATAATCAAAATGTAAAAAGTTACATAAAAGCAGTTCAAAGTCAAAAAAATGTTTTACTTGCCTTTTTGTTTAATGTCATTCTAATATTTAACTGACCTTGATAACATATAAGTCCACTGAAAGGGGTACTCACAGAACCTCGATCTTAAGCATGTATACTCTTTCATCTTCGGTAACTTTTTCTGCAAAAATAAAATATTTCATAAACAAACTGTAAAAGTGAGAAACAAGGAAGAAAACTAGACCCCAGATCATCCAGCATTTAACTCAGCGAAACAATAGGAGAAACAATGCGGGGTAAATTACCATCTATGAGCTCAAGATTCAGGTCAAACATCTCACAGTCACTCTCCTCTTTCTTCGGCACAGCATAGTAAAGAGATACCATCTGGAGCACAAAACAAATTGATGAACATCAACAACCTTAAAGTTTGTGATTAGATTTACAAACATTTAATCATATAAATCTTCATACTGTCCAGATATAACCGATTGTGTGCATATTGACATGATCAATGTTTATTACATTTTCTTTAGATCTAACTTCATCAGGATGAAAAAAAACAAACTTTAAACAACAGCAAAAAACAACAACAAAGATCTGAATTATGAGTGAAAAGATTCGAATTTCATTTTAGACAAAAAACAAATTTTTGTTTACAATGAGAAATGACTGTTCTGTTGTAGACCACCTCTGTTAGTCCATAAAAAGCAAGGTGTACAGTTGTTGCCATTCAAACTTTCCCAACTTTCCTTGATGGGCCCATGGCTGGTCCATGGCTGGTCCCCCTCAATCTTTGTACTAAAATATTCTTTCTGTCATGATTTGTGGACATTAAGATCTAAAGAGAAGAACCTTCTCCTGGTCAGACCCTGTAATTCAGTGAAAGGTTGGAGTCTGAGTAAAAACATATGCACACCCAGGAGAAGGAGGGGATCACTCCAGGGGCTGGATGTTAGCTGCCACTAGACTGGTGCTTCATTGGGAAGGGCCATTTTGAATGGCTACTATTGTACTATAGAACATGGAGGATGAGAAATGGGTGTATACTTACATTAAACATTGCTTCTCCATTCCCTGTTACAGTGACTTTGACATTCCTATTAATACCATTGAACTGTTGGGAAAATGGAAAGTTGTTAAAAAGAAGAATGGAACATATAGAAATATTGAAGCATATTCAACACCATATAAGATTCACATAATAGAGAAAAATTTGGTACATTTTAAAAATTTTCAACAAAACATTTGAATTGTTCATCTTTAAAAAAGCGGTTTTGGATTTGATCAACCATAAAATGGGCAATATTAGCGGTTATTAGTTCCATAGAATAGTTTCAGACTGTCTCCTCTACCTTCTAGTAGTTTTGTTATAGCTTATAACAGGCGGTTCTTAAAGTTTAGTTTTTTATAATTTACCAACTTTATACTTTTTACATTTACTTTATTTACAGTGTACCTTCCATTTTTTTAAGCTGCGTCTAAAAGCTTTACTGGGAATGAATTCCACGTTTCAGTCATATGAATTTAAAATTTCTTGAAAGAAAACTCCGTTGTCAGGATATGCGATGTTTTTGTTTTTTATTTGTCTGATATAAGTGATAGAATAATAATAATGCATATTATTTATAGGCACCTTTCTGAACACAAGATCACCTTAGGCTATATTTCAGACATTACAATACAAGAAAACAGGCATATATTTAAAACATTAGAATTAATACAAATATGATTAAGGTGAAACAGTTAAAATAAGAAAATACAAATAAATTACAGAGAGTAAGAAAGATTTTAAAAAGGTGGTTTTAGAGCTTAGATTTAAAAAAGTGATAGCAAATTGTTAATCTGGTGGGGGTGAGTTCCAGAGAGGAGGGGCAGAGGGGCTAAAAGCTCTGCTCTCCATGGTAACAAGATGGTCAGAGCGAACAGTGAGATGAAGTGAAGGTAGGTAAATACGATCAAGTAAAATGATACGACTGGCATAAAATCAAATACAAACAGCATAAAAATGAAACAAGCCGCTCCCATCTAGGCGTAATGACAATGACACACAAAGTGTGCTTCTGATGTCTGCTCCGTAGCTTTGTTTTGGTCGCTGTAACCGCAGAAAATCCCGCTTCAGAAAGATAGGATGTTATAGATAGGATGAGTCTTAACCTGTGTCAAGATGCACCGACTGATGTAAAAAGAGAAGACTGGAGGCGGTTTATGTTATGAAAGTAGAAGTAGGCAGACTGGTAATATTACTGATGAGAGGAAAAGGAAAAAGTGCTGTAAAGGGTAATGCTGGGAGAGATAGAGCTGAGTGTCATCCAACTCTATTAAAATGTATATGAGACTTCCGATGTATGTGGCCGAGGTGGAGGATGTAGATGTTAACAATGGGAGGCCAGGACAGAGCCCTGGGGAACACCTAAGGTAGCAGAGATAAGATGGGAATTAAATTATTTTAAATTAATGAACTGAGTGAAGCCTCAAAGGTATGAACAAAACCAGTTCAAAGGTATATTTCTGGTGCCATTAGAACTATATCTCTTATCTGGTATATGGAGGATCCATTTATATACAATAGATGAAGAACTACTATAATGATGTTAAAATTACACATATAGTGTATGTACATCATCCAATGCTGTGGGGAAAAACGAAATTACCTTAGGATTAGGATTCATTCTTTGATATCAACTGTCTGAGCCTTCTGGGAAGTAGGAAGCACAAACTGAAGCCATTGTATGGGACTGATAACCACTAATAACGTCCATTTCCAAAGTAACTAAAAACCAAACCAAAAGCTGTTGCCCTATATGCTGCTGTAAAAAGAAAATGTACTAATTTATCAATAATACATAATTTCTTTAAAGCAAAACTCAACACAATAAAAATGTCCAGACCATGATTCAATGAGCAACGCATTTTTTTAAACACAACATGTACTTTCAGTATATCTGGGATAGCTCTGCAGTAATTTTTAGAAATGGCAGATTATTGCATGATACTTAGGGGCAGCCAGTGTTGGCCTTTTAACTAAAGACAAAGAGTTATACAGTAGGTACTATTTTATTTTCCAAAAAAGTAACTGGTTACTATGCAAAGTAGCTATGCAGTTACGTTTTATCAATATTCATCTAAAATCTAGAGGAATCTGGATGATTTCCTTGTTATCAGAACTCATTGGAACCCAAAAGTTAATTGCCAAATATAGAAAGTTTCATATGAGTTAAAAAAATAAATATTTAATAAATAATCATCAATAAAGTATATAACAAAAAAATTTACATTTGAAAACACTATATATTATA